GTGTGGATACAAATTTTCATTGACGATTTCGGGAACACGATTCGTGTATACATGTAGATTTGTCCGTGTGTGTGTATGTATGTGTATGTTCTCTATGCACCAAAGGCAAATAAAAAGGCGATTGTAAACCTCTGCGAGGACTAGAAACAATTTACTACACGAGCGATTGCGATTGCGAAAGGTTAATGCGGCGAATAAAATCGCCAGACGCTCATAGACCGATACACCATTGTCTAGTATAACTGTCTACATACACAAACACACACACACACATATAGATATAAATATAGCGGGTCCCAGAAGTCAATGTAATTTTCGAAAAACAACAACATGTCTATTCGACTATCTGTCTACCTCTCTTGTCATCCCATTTTACGTGTTCATCAATATATCTGTCAACCTGTTTATCTGTCTACATATTTGTCTATCTAACATTTGTCTTGCCTACCATTTTACATATTCTCTAATATACTATCTACCATTTGTCTATCTACCAGTTGCCCTGTCTACCAATGTACCTATCAACCTGTTTATCAGTCCATCAGTTTACCTATCTACCATTTTACCTTTCTACCTGTTCATCTGTCTACGTATGTATTTATCTACCTGTTGAACTATTTTTTTGTTTACCTAAAATCTTTTGCTATAATAATTTTAACGAAATAGAGGTTTGTGGTAGGATATTGAAAATTTAGGACAATATGAGTTTTTTATATACGCATTATTAAAAAATAGAAATTGATCGAATAATAAAGAAGGCTCATAATTTTGGCTAAATTCAAATTTCAAGTGAATTGCCAATTCTAGCAGATGACAGTTCAACTGTTTTCAATGTCAAACAATGAGAAGTGGCTTTTTGTAATTTTTGCCATTTATTTCTATAATAATACAATAGTTTTATCGCTCATTATATCTTAAAAATTTCATTTGACAAACTCTAAAAAGAATTATCAAAATCCGAATAAGCGTTTAAGAGAAGTATCAAATCATACATCCGTACAGAAGAATTTTATATAAAAGATATGTCTTATTAGAAATGAATGGTAAAAGTTATAAAAAACCACTTATCATTGTTTAGCATTGAAAATATTTGAACTGTCACCTGCTAAAAATATCAATTCGCTTGAAATTTGAATTTAGCTGAAATTATGAGTCTAGATAATATTAGAATATAATATAAAGAAAAATGTAATATCTACATTATTATGGCCAAAAAGCAGCTGAGATGTGCCACAAAATAAAAATAATATAAGATACAGTCAACAGTATATGTTTAGCAGATGAAATTATATAATTCAGTTTAATAAATAACGCAATAAGTCGAAAATTGCATATACATTATTTTTTTAAACTTATGCATGTCGCATTTTGGTTTACTTTACTGAATTATTTAACGGTACAAAAAAATATTTCTACTTATTAAAAAAAATGATTTAGAATTTTGTTTCATGTGTCAAAAATTTATTTGTTTGACATTTGATATGGAATATTTAGCAAGTTGATCTTAGATTGAATAGTGCACATATGAACTAGATTTTACAAATTAATTCACCAAAGATTTGAACATAAGCAATAATGTTTATTAAATTATTAGTAAGAAAAATGTACTTTAGAAAATATAATTGCCAAAAAGCAACCAATATATATCGTACGAGATTATGAAAATTATAGACTAAATTATTGAAGCAATAATTTTTTTCTGAATTTCTTATACTGCTTATGCTAAGACCATAAATAAATCACAAAGACATCAAATAGGATATTAAAAAGTATAGGATAGGATATTAAAAAACTTTGAACTTTTGAGTTGTAGACGTGGGTACAGGACAACGTCTGTCGGGTCATCTAGTATATATATATATAAACTAATTTCTTATTTATTAAATTATAATATATATATATATATATATATATATATATCTAAAATAAATTGTTCACATTAACCCAAATTAATAACCATATATGCTTTAATTATATTGGTGTACATATTTTATGTTGTATGAGAGATCAATACTAGCATCTCTCAATATTTCAGAAATTTAATTCTAGGTGTATTTGGAAACAAAAAATATTAATTAATATAAAATTAATAACAATCGTTACATGAAAAACGTAACTCAATACGTTATTGTAACGATTCTTTTTAAATGTGGTGTTTTATATATGAAATTAACATTTCAGTAAATGTTAAACCGACTCAAAGACGAAGGAAAACATTTACAAAGCTTTGAAAAAAAAAAACAGATGGTTTTCGGTATCAGAGGATTGTAGACAAATGTGCATAATATTTTTTTGAGTAGTCTATTTAGTTTGGAGCACTTAAATTTATCATCACTTGTAGCAAAATTAGTTAACATAATTTGGTTTTAAGAAATGTCACCTTGTAGAATTTTTGTTTATCACCTTTGTAGAATGTTTTCACGAAACACAAAAGTATAGTAAAATATTTAGGTCAGATCTTTTTATATATATTTATTACTATCTTGGCCAAAGTTAAATTATTTTAGATATTACATCCAATATGTCCAATTAAAATTGATAAATTATTTTTATCACCCTTGTGGTAGAGAATCACCTTGTAGAATTTTTAATATATTTCCACGTAACACTAAAGTATAGTGAAAATAATCACCTTGTAGAATTTTTAATATATTTCCACGTAACACTAAAGTATAGTGAAAATAATCAAAGGTTCAGCCCAGATTATCTTTTATATATTTATTATTATATTAAGTCAAATTGAATTATCTTATAATTATTATTACATCCACCAAGGCTAATTGAAATTATTTTAATTACCCTCGTTCCCTGCCTTGTGCTATTCCATTTTTACTACTCGAATACAAAAATACGTGAATTCTTATGAAAAATATTATGTACATTCGAAACCCTTTGTTATCTAAAATATCTGTGTAACATTTTTTCTAAATATTAACAAAAAAAAATGTGTTCGGCGCTTTTGTGTGTTGTTCTATTGGAGTTTTGGCAGCTTTCTTGGATTTTCTTGGAGGAAACATTTTAGCTTTTGGTTTGGAAGCAAACAGCTGCTGAGACAGTAATGTAAGCTTGAATTATATTTAATTATATTAAGGATGGTGTACAATTATGTAATCATTATTAAATAGAAAAAACATGTAATATACTCTCAATATATATTTATCCCAGGACTCAACGTCAACCCAATGAGGGTGATAGTATTGGCCATAACTGTCATGAAAAAAAAGAAAAAAAAATCTAGTTTAAAAATTATGAATTTTTACGTGTAACTTAGAGCTTTGGTAAAAATGTGACAATTTTTTGGTTATTTTGGTTAATTTTTATTTAATTCATTCAATCTTTGAATTCGTAATCATAAGGATAACATTTCAAGGACCAAAAATAATGACACAATTCATGCCAGTTTTCAAAATTTAAATTTTTGATAAAATTATGTATCTAATTGGTAAACTTTGAGAGGTGTCAAATTTTTTCATGACAGTTATAATCAATACTATCACCCCATTTCGGCTTGACGTTGAGTTCTGGGACACCATGTATAAAATAAAAATATAACCTTTGGCCGAGTTTTTTAGCTGATTTTATTACTTGTTCTGTTCTTAGAAACTTACGATTAGCAAAACTTAGAAAAGTTTGTAATTTTTTAATATAAGACCGATTTTTTATTAAAATAAAATAATTATAAGTAATAAAATAATAAAATAATTGAAACAAATATATTTTAGTTAATAGTCCTTACTTGCAAATTTATTTTTTTTGCTAATTCGAAGCAGTTCAGAAAAGTATTAAACTAGAAAATTATGATGAGATTTATTTTTATATTTATTCTGGCACAGTTTTGAACTATTTTTCAATGCCATTTCAATTAAAATTAATTAATTTTTCATATTTTGCACTTTAAACAAATATAATTTTAGTCTTGATTATTGCAAATATAAAATCTTTTTTTTTGTTGATATATCTTAAAGTGTATTTATTTGTTGCATTGAAATAATTAAATTGCTTAAATTAAAATTAAAAAATATTTTATAAAAATAGTTAATTGCTCTGTCTTAGTAATAGTTTTAATCTCTATTTAATTGGAAAAATTGCTGATAAATTATTAATTATTAAGGCCCTTGAATCAGTTTTCTCTATTCTTTTAATCATATTTATTTATTATTTATTTTACGTATGTTTATTTAATATATAGTTTACGAAAATAAAAAAGCGATTACAAAAAAAATGATTGAACATTAGGATTTTTTTTACATAAATGGTTATTCTAATTTTGAAGAATTTTGTGTGACTTTTGAAAGGGCTACAAAAAAGAAACAATATTTATCAGTTACTAATATACGTTTTGAAAATTTAGAAAAAATTAAAAATCAAAAATATTCAAAAAGTTTAATTTTAGAGAGTAATGAAGTGGGGGACGTGTCAAAAAATTGGCACCTGACCATACACATGATTTTAGCCTCCAAATAATCCGAAGAAAAAAAATATATTATTATTCTTAAATCTATTAAATTCGCAACTTTTTTGTATTGTTTCGATTTTTTTTTAAATTGTAAAAATCGGAATTTTGAAATGAGTGTTGTTGATACTGAAGAAAAATTTATAAAGAAGACACTGTAAAAATTTCAAGTAAATCGGTCGAGTAAAAGTTGAGGAATCGTGGGTGTCGTATCGAAAACAACACTTGCAAGTAAATCGCGTTTAAAATTTTGCTGAAAGGAGGTTCAGCATAGTTAAAAAGTTATACCACCGAAAAATTAATTTTAATTTTGAAAAATTCTGTACAAGCATTATTGAATATTTAAACTTCGAAAATACCAAAAAATAAAAATCTAGAATAGAATTTTCCCGAGAAAGTCGAATACTTTAAATTTATCATACATTTCGCACTTGTTTTTTCATAAATGCAACAAAACAAAATTTTACAACAATAATTGTACACCATCTTTAAATAATTCCAATACAAATTTTCCGCAATATGAATCTATATATTTTCCCTTTTCCAGCCCGATTTTAGCAGTAGCAGACTTCCGCACCATAACCTATGCAGATGGCACAACAGCATCTTCCTGCGTAACACAAGCAACGGAAACGCTTCCATTTTTGTTCTTCCTGATGACCATTTCCGTGTTCTTTCTGCTCCCGTTCATAATATTATTGGCGCTGTACGCGCGGATAGCCCGCGAACTAATCGCAGACGCACCGAACAAACACTCTGAACGTTGCAACAGAAGACACTTGGTTATTATGTTGGGAACAGTGGTGTTGGCGTTTTTTGTATGTCTACTCCCATTCAGATTGTTGACTCTATGGATCATAATTTCACCGGATGAAGCCCTGGTGCATTTAGGGGTGGAAAGATATTATAATATTTTATACTTCTGTCGCACCATGCATTATTTAAATTCAGCTGTGAATCCTGTCCTCTACAATTTGATGTCGTCAAAATTCAGGGATGGTTTTAGTAGCGTTTGTGGATGTTTTTGCTGGTGTTATGAGAGAAGGCCTTTGAGGAAACGAAGTGGTACTATTTTGACGACAAGTACGAGTGCAAGTGGAAGGAGCAAACAGTCTTTGAAAAAACATAAAAATGTGACGCCTGTCAGTTCTACTTCGGTAGTGTTGCCAGCGGGTAGTGATGCGCAGAAGGCGCTCTTGAGGCAGCATACTGATGAGTCTGTGTTGCCTGATTGCAATGTGTAGTAGAAATATGAAAATATGTTTTTGTTTTGCAAATATTATGCTAATTTTTGCGTACAATTTTTTGCCTATAGATATAGAGAATGTAGTAAATTCAAACTGATCTCCCTTTTTGTTAACATTTTTGGGCCAATTCTGCCGTAACATAGACGATAAAATAGCGTTGATATGCTTATTTCTTGGTAGTAAAAACTGTAAAAATGATATTCATTTGCCGTGCGATCAGGCATATTTTACATATAAATCTTATGATAACTGCATCTTCATGAAGCGCATTTGTAACATACAGATTTATGTGTAAAATGCCTGATCGTACAGCAATTAGATAGACAATTTCTCTACCAAGAAACAAGCATAACAAAGCGTAGCCATAACAACACATCGATATAACATATATCATCGATTTTTCCTCAATCATTGATCACGTGGAATCTTTTTTACTCTATTTTTCTTAGTACTCTGTGCAAAAAAGCATTTAGTAAGGTGACCATTTTTTTTAAAGTCAAAACCGGAACGACAATTTTTAGTTATGCTAACACGGGACAGGAGAGGTGGGTTTTGCTAAATAACTTAAATATGATTTTAAACTAACATACTACTTAAGAATACATTTTTTTAGTGAACCATTTTTAAATTAAGAAATACGGATTTCTAGTATGAACTTTTTATTCGATTATACGCCTTACTCTTGTTTTACCTATGCCGTTATAATATCTACATAAATATACAAATAAGTCGGGTTTTCAGATTTCGATAATTTTGCATTCTTTGGAAAGGTCTTGGGCTCCGTAAGGTTTATAGCTAAGAAAATTAGTGGTGCATGGCATCGTGCCTTAATGCAAATTGCTAGAACTTCACGCACCGTAATTAAAAATTCGAGTAATCACATTAGTGAGAATTATCCGAATTATGCTTGGTTAAGTCAACGAGCAATTCTTGCCGCAAAGAATAATAATGACCACGCACTGAATTTCACCATTCAATCAAAAATTGCTGGCGATTTGGTGACATACCAATGATTCCGACTGGTCTTCCGTTTGACTTCAAACGATTGCAATTTCCAGTTCGCCTTGCGTTCGCAATAACAAGTCGCAAGGCCAATAGCTTAGTGTTTGCGGGATAAATTTCAAATAGATTATTTAGAAAATCATTGTTTTTCACATGGGCAGTTATACGTTGCCTGTTCACGAGTTGCGAAACCATGCGCTTTGTTTGTGCCAACGTCAGAACAAAAAACAAAAAATGTGGTTTACCAAAGAGCACTTCAATGAAACAGATAATTTGCGGATTCACTTTCATTTACTTAGAGAAGTTCAACTAAAAAACATTTCATTTTTGTAATCGAAATAAATTTATTACTGTTGTGCAATAAAATCAAATTTTTCCTTCTCAAATATAAAACAAACAAAAAATTTCTTCATCTTTCTCACGAAATCATTTGGTGGCGAAACGGAGTTCGTCGGGTTTGCTAGTTTCTTATATTCTTCCATCCAGGTTTTTTTCGCTGTTGAACATTGTATAAAATTCTGTTCAAATTACTTCATGATTCATTTGAAATTTTTATAATTTTTGTTGATTTTCGAATTGAAAGTTCAAATTTATTAATGTGAGATGCTATTTTAACTTGCCTTTGGAATTGTGTATTTGATATATTTCTCGTTCACAGCGTATTTAATATCACTAATTGATAATTTCATTACCAAGTGCAAAGATTCAATTTAGACCTAGATTTTTCTTACAAAACCCGGGACAATCTGGGACAAAAGATCTAAATCCGGGACAATTTTTGCTTTTAGAAAATCTCGGGACATGTCGTGGAAATCCGACCAAGCCGGGACGTATGGTCACCTTATATTTAGCCTTAAGGCAAGTTGCATTAGTTAAAAAATAAGCTTTTAATTAAACCTGTACGTAATTTTTTGTTTGACAAAAAATATTTGAATCGAAAAACAAAAGTGTGTCTTTTACAACTGATGTAACATTTTGCTTTCAACTGAATAATAGTAAATAATTGCTTTAAAAATTATCTAAAAAAATATTATTTATTATTTAAGAATCTAGTAATGCTGATAGGATTAACTTTTTGAGTTAATGTATAAATACGAATTGTTAGGTATGTAATCACATATTTTATGCCAAAGACTAAAAATTATATATACATATATATATATATAATATATATATATATATATATATATGTATATATACAATACTTCTAATTTTTTATATAAACGTTTTTTTAGCTGAGCAGCCTACAATTCTGTAACAAATCTACTTTTTCAAAATACCATAAACTTTATGTTTTGATAAATATTATATTATATAATGGATAAATTCATAAAAATAAAAAAAAACAAAAAACAAAAGAGAACTAAATAAAAGAATGTTTTTAAAATTCTAATAAGTTTATTAATTGTATTTGTAAGCAGTATTAAAACATTTTTGTCAGTAAATTTAATTAATTTATATATATTTTTAGTATTATGTTAAAAGAAATATAGCTTTAAGTAGTTTTCAATAATGAAAGCTTTAGTTTGTAAAATTATAATAAATTTTCTAGAAAAATAATAAACAAACTTAAACTCTAAGAAAAAATTATCATATTTCTAGAAAAGAAAGATTATTTTAAGAATCAGTCACAAATTCATCGCAAAATAACTTAAAATTGACATTTTTTTTTATATATAGGATTTATTTTACAACAAATGCAACAATAATAAATATTTTATTTGATTGATTGATTGAGGTTCAAAGAAGCAGTTTAATACTTAGAAGAATTATTTAGTATCATTTACTTAAATAAATTATTAAATAATACCAAAAATATACTAATTCACTTTAGAAAAAAATTTATACAAAAAATACTGTGGAAATGCATTAAAACCTTTTTGCATTATATTTTACTCTATTAAAACTTGTATTCATTATGCAAATATAAAATTATGTTTGTTAATAATTAAAAATGTAATAACGATTCAAAATATGCCATTCAAAAAAATTAATAAATTTTATTTATTTGAATAATCAATATATATTTTATGTAATATTATATTTATATGTAACAAAATGCATTTATATATTTATTGTAAAATTTCATAATAATCATATTATATTTTGTTTATTAATTGAGGAATATTATATTAAAATTATATTACTTTAATTTTTATTTGTAAAACTTATTTGTAAAATGTTATTTAATAAAATAATATTCGTTTTGTGTTTGCATTTATAATAAATAAATCATGAAAAGCATGTTTTTTTAGGTAATAAAATATAATTTATATTCAATGATTCTTATCGTACTAAATAATTGAACAGGTGAGTATTTAACACATTGGTTGCCACGTCAGCCATATGCGTTTGACGCCAAGAAGATAATTGGATTTATTATAATGTCATGTGTGGTAGAAAATACTAAATCATCATACTACGGATATTATTTCAATGTAATTACTATCCTTAATTTGGTCCCCTTTTTATTTAAATTTATGTTATTGTTCATTATTGTTACTAGATGTTAGATTATTTAACAGTTGTAACAAATATTCTAATTAAAAACAAAGGAAAAAATGTGTGGTATAAAAATAGTGCTCTCCAGGAAATTTTTCATTCATGCATTAAGTTTCTTTGATAAATTTTTAACTAGGTCATCTAATAAATTTACCTTCGCTCATGTAAAAAAAATCTGGTGCAATCGTGGCAATTAACGTGTTAAAAAAACAGATTTGCCTTCACTGGGTAAAACGTAATTTAATATATTATTAATACATCACAGGTGAGAAAATAAATCACTGATATTATTTGAATTGCGCGCCCAAAATTTGTATAAAGGAAAGCAGAGTAAAATGAGATAAAATTAGTTGTAAGACAAGTTGCATGAACTTCCTGATATGTGTAAATGATCGACTTAATCAATAAAAAATAAATTCATTAATGAGTGATTAAAAGTATTACAAGTGAATTTATTACACATAATTTAACACAACGTTAACTATTAGTATTTTCTAAAAGCAAATTTTCACAAATCACTTATTTTTACAATTGAACCAGTTTCCGTAAGACTTTAATGGTTTAGTTTAGTATGTTCATTAAGACCAAGTACTCTATCGTTATACAAAGTAAATCGTCTAATTTTAATTTTAGCTAACGTCAAAAAAACTACTCATTTTCTCAAACTTTGATGAATTTTTAAAATTAAACTACTTGTCGTAAGGCCGTAATATTTCAGTAAGTTCTATGAGACCATGATATATATATTGAAAAAAGTTTTATAAAAATCGGCCTAATTTTTTTTTAACAGTTAATTACAAGAAAACGGCTCGGTAAATTTTCACCTAAAACTAATCGATATCATTCCCAACTAATATCTTTCAAACAGTTTTTGATTTTTTAAAATTGATTCGTTTGTATGAGCTTAAATGTAGACGAAAAGTTTAACACTCATAGAGATACATTGAATGACTTTTAAACTTTTGAAATCGGTCAAGCCGTTTTTGAGAAAACGTTGATTCAAGGTAAAAAATCTGTTCACACACACACACACATACACACATACTTTTTTCCAAAATTGGTTTCATACGATTCAGAATGGCTTGAAACGTCGAGAAAACAAAACTAGCGAACCGGATTTTTTGAAGAAAACATTAACTTCTCTAGTTGTGTAAAAAATATGACCATTAATTTAAATCATTATATAATATCAAGGTGATGATATACGTAATTGTGCAGTTGAATATTATATAAACTGAATTGCAAACTTAAAATTATTTATTTGAAGAATATGAGTGAGCTTTAGAACTTTAGCCAGAATTCAAATTAAAATCCGAATTATTTTCGATATCAAAAAAAAAATCTAAAAGCAATTGTTTTGTTAATACACGCAGAAAGTTGTTTAGATCATTCAAATCAGATTCTTAGTTCACTCAAAAACTGCCATTTTTTGAACATTTATCTCTGTGTCTTCGAAATGGCTGGACCTGTCTTTGCCAAAAACTAATCACCTCTTTTTCCAATCATTACAAATTGAGTGTTTTTTAGATCATTCAAATCCGATACTCCGTTCTCTCAAAAACTCGATTTCTATTTTCTGCACTCTTTGCTCCGTACCTCCGTAACGGCTGGACCTGCCTTTGCCAAAAACTAATCACCAATCCCTTTTAATAGGCAAGAAATGTTTTTTGAATCACTGAAATCGGCTGATCCGTGCGCCTAAAAACATGGACAAAAAATTGTATCCATACACACACACAAATGTTCAGAAACCTCTAAAACGTGAAGATATGCATAAATTTTCAATTTCGATTCTTGGACGATTGCAATAACTTACCCCATGGGAAGTTAATAAGTCGATGTACATAGGAAGACCTTCGATAAAACAAAATTCCGGTCCCGGATTTCATATTCTTTTGCATCATAAATCACCGTTTCCATGTTGTCAGCTTCATGTGTAAAGAAAAGATAAGACAAAACAAAATTCGAAGGAAGGAGTCGTCAGGAGATGCATTTAAAGTCTCTCGGAAGAAAGTTGAGGATATAAATTGAAAAGTTTTTCAACTATTATATTTATTATGAGAGATAAGGAGTTTAGTGAATTCGAAATAAATTGCCCGGTAAAGTCGTGTACAATGATAATAGGAGGCTAGTTGAAAGTGGCCTTATGCAAGTTGCATGAACTTCCCGAAATGCGTGATAATTGACTTAATTAACCGAAATTGTGGACCGATTCTGCGCATAACAGAGAAATGTTACGGCATGGCATGTTACGCTCCGACTCCCCATACATTATGCGAATGAATCATACTGAATGCTGTCAAAATATCATGTATTTGCTGTTCATTCCGGCGTTTTAAGCATAAACTGCAACGTCACTCGTATCTTACCTAAGAGGAATCAGAAACACACACTTATCTAACATCGTTTTTTTGACATTTGTGCGGCTTTTAGGTTATGTTTTGTATGAGAAAACCTAAGAAATTCGCCTGACCTGAACACCAACCGCATAACTTTTGTCTATATTACTATGGAAAATTCTTCATAACATGACCTTATCATAACATTGCGGCAGAATCGGTCCCTGAGATTTTGATATTTAGATGATTCAGTTTATATGATGCTTATGAATATTAAACAATGTTACAGTATTGATAATAATTTATTTGAAAATATTTAATGATCCTCAAATATTTCATTATGGTACGGGAAGTTCCAGCAATTTGCCATAAGGCATGATGCTATACACCACTAGTTTAAATCCACATTACAAAAATTAAAATAAAGAAAATTGACTCCGAAATTAAAAAAGTATTGAGGTAGCACAATACCTGTTGATTCGGCACAAATTGTTTGATTATATACAGAAATTTTGATTTTTGATCTAAGAGCATAAAGTTGAAAAAAATTGAAAAGTTGAAAAAAATTAATTTTCGTCGACGATTTCGGGAGTACCTCTCAACCGATTTGAGTAATTCAAAAAGCAATCGAATCTTACTGATAGGTAAATAATGTTGACTAGTTTTTGGCAAAGACATGTCTAGCTGTTTTGGAGATACGGAGCACAGAGTGCAGAAAATAGAATTTAAGTTTTCGAGAGTATCTTGAAGTAAAACATTTTGTATATATTTTTCAATTCCACATAAAAATTAAAATAGAGAAAATTGACCCCAAAATTAAAAAAGTATTGGGGTTGCACAATTTCTGTTGATTCAGTACAAATTGTTTGATTTTTCACAAAAATTTTGATTTTTGGTCTATATTTTCATAAAGCAAAATGATGTTTAGGAAATTACAATAAATAAGTTTAACTTTGCAATTCATTTTATATAATTCTTAAAAATGTGAGATAAGATCCTTCATTCCAACTTCGCTTGATCTAGTTTTGTTTATTCAATTTTCATGTAAACTTATGTAGACGTCATTGTCCAATTCATAAGGTCTTATTTTTCGTCTATAAAATACGTATAATAAAAGTTACAGTATTTATAATATTATATTTGAAAACATTTAAAATTCCTCGAATATTTTATTAAGGTACGGCAAGTTCCAGCAACTTGCCTTAAGGCACGATACCATGCAATACTAGTTATTATTCTATGTTGCAAATTTTTAGTTTTTATAAAATTAATTCAAAGATAATTCATTCAATATTTTAAAAAATGATAAAATATGATTTTGGAAAATGTTATAAGATTTTCCAGATTTAATTTAAAAATTGATGAGGCAATTCTGCCGTAACAGAGCCCATAACATAGCGTTGTAAAAATGTGTTTCTATTTGCTGTGCAATCAGGCGTATTTTACATATGAACAAGCAAGAATGCACAAGAATGTTATGATAACAGAAGCTTTGAACTTGCAAATATATAGTTATTTTCACAGTTTTCACTACCAAGAAAAATAAGTTCTGTTATTGGGGCAAAACTGCCCTACAAATTTACGTGTTTCTGTATTTTTATATATTTTTTTTTATTTTTCAGTCCAATCCTGGTGGTCGCTTCTTTACCAGTACGAGGAATACTTCGACGGATCAATCGTCGCCGTTTGTCTGACCCAAGCGGATTCCTTCTGGCCAGCTCTATTTTTCATATCTTCGATTTCCGTATTTTTTCTCATCCCTCTTGCTATTTTGGTCATTTTATACACCATAATAGCCAAAAACCTTATGGAAAATCCAATGACTGCAGTATCACACGGAAAAAACGGTAACAGCATATACAAATATAGGCGGCAAGTCGTGGTGATGTTAGGAGCTGTTGTTTTGTCGTTTTTCGTGTGTCTGATGCCCTTTCGTGCCCTGACTTTGTGGATAATAGTGGTTCCACCAGAAACCATAATGTCTTTGGGCTTGGAAGGATACTACATCCTGCTCTATTTTTGCAGAATTATGCTGTACATAAACTCCGCCATCAACCCGATTTTATACAACTTGATGTCATCCAAGTTCCGAGAAGGTTTCATGAAACTACTGGGTTGTCACAAACTCCGACGCCTCACCACTTCGAGTGATGGTAGAAAAAGTACTTTTAGAACGACTTCTAGTACTTTATCCAGCAATACTGATTCATTTTGGAGACGATACAGTACACAAAAAGCTGCAAAAGCAGGATCTCCTAAACATAAGAGCAAATTGCAACTTTGTTGTTCGGAAAGAAACTTTGGATGATGCTGAACCAAGACCGATTAGTAGTGTTGAAGCTCCTAGTAATACTGATCCTGATGAGATTAGAAGTTGTGCTGACAGAAGTAGTAAGAATAATAATAAGCAAAATTATGTGAGGAGTTTGGAAGAATCGCAACTCGTGCATGAGTTGTCGTTTGCTAAAGAAAGTTTTGTCTAGTGATAAAGGACAAGTTTCAATACTCTTGAATTCAAATAGAATTTAAGTTTTCGAAAGTATCTTGAAGTAAAGAGTTGTATGTATTTTTCCACTACACAACAAAAATTTAAATAAAGAAAATTGACCCCAAAATTTAAAAACGTATTGGGGTTGCACAATTTCTGTTGATTCGGTACAAATTGTTTGATTTTTTTACATAAATTTTGATTTTTGGCCTATATCTTCATAAAAGAAAATGATGCTGAAAAAATTTCGCATTGAAAAATCGTAATTGTACAATGTCTAAATCGTAAATTTAGACAATTCAAAAACAAGGCTGAGGAAGTCTTAATCATCAATGAGGAAACATAAATGTTGCAGAAAAAAGGTAAAATTGTTCTGGAGGCCTAGAAAAAGTGAAGAAGTCGCAATTGGTCGCAACTTTGAATAAATGTTATCTAAAAAAATGAGAAAAAGCATTATGGAACATTATTTTTGAATATGTTATCTTTGGAAAAATCACATTTGAAACTTTTTTGATTCTTCTTTTTTGAGGGCTGGCAGAATGGCATACAAATTGCCTTTTGAATTTTCTATCTTTGAAAAAATCTTATTTATTTTGAATGTGTTAACTTGAAATGGTAAATTTTCCATAACCATCCTGCCAATTTGGGTAAAAAAATTTGAAAAAAAATATTAATATTTTTTATTATAAATTTTCTTTATTGTGAACTTGTAAAATAAATTTTATAATGTTTTACTAATGAGTTTGTAAATAATCACCATTTTAAATAATTTTGAGACAAATATATTTTAATACTTTTATAATATTTTCAAAAAGGACCAAAGCATATAATTTGAAATACGTATTGGATAATAATAAAAAATAATAAACTTAGGTCTGATGTTATTAGATATTAATGTAGAAGTAGTATATCGAACATATTAATTTTTTAGAATATTTATTACACAATTTTGTTCACATACATTACATACATACATTACATTACATAAAATTTAGTTTATAATTTTTGCAGAATTACTCGCTATTGTTTTGGGTAACTAATGAGAAAATTTTATTAAAATTTTCTACGTACAAATTTCAGATTTGTAATTATTTTTAGTATTTACGATCTAATATATAATATTCTTGTTATTGATTAAACTTTGAGATTTAAATATTTGATTGTTATAAAATACTTTAAATAATTTAAATAAAACTTTGGTAATAGAAATATTAAATAAAATTAAAAACAAACATTCAATTTTAATTAATATTTTCATTACCAGTAGCAAACTTTTTAATTTTTTAAAATATTTTCAATCAATTTCACGAAGAATTGAAGAATTTCTCAAAGAAATTTTTTATATTTCAGATATAATTTAATAAATATTGTCATTAATAATAAATATATTTTATCACAATTTATCTAGTTCATTAATCAAGTAGACAAATTAAAATATAGAAAAAGCTTAAGAAAACTGTAAATTTATAGACTGATTAAGTAGATGTTAATTAATAAAAATTAGCTTTAATTTGTATATAGATTTGAACTTGTGTGGGATCATTTAGGAAAAAAATATCATTGAAATTAAATTTATTTTTGTAAAAGGAGTATCTATATATATATAATGTTTCAGAAACAGAAAATTCAATTTTCTAATTTTATGCTCTTAAAAACCGATTTCAAAAATTTCAAAAGTTTCAATAATACAAAGATTTTCTGATGAAAACAAACTTTTCCTTTGAAATAATTAAAATAAAATTGACATTTACTAAATAATGTTTTTTTTAAATAATGATCTCATACCGGTTATTTCAAATTATGCAAATACCTGTATATGTTATACATAATTAATGTTATATAATTTTTTATATACTTAAATGTAAATGTGAGCTTAAATAGATTTGCATAGTGCTTTAAAATTATAAAATATATAAAGAAGTTGAAAATATATTGTTGACGATGGAAATCAAGCTGGTAATAAATGTAGTATATACTAGCTGTCCTGGCTTTTTTAAATTGTGTCAGTTATAACTATAACTCAAAATTTCGACATAAAAGTTATTTGACAAAATGTCTTCTTATATCCATTCAAAATTTAGAATCTTAATTTAAATAACCAAAATAAAATAATATAATCTAAAAAATCTATAAATATACATTTAATCATTAGTGAAATATTATTAATTAATTCATATGTCCAAATATTTTTACTTTTTTTTATTTTTGCATCGTCAACATAATACCAAAAAGTTTAAGGCTTTAAAAACCAAATTCGAATATTAGTATGAATAATTTCCAAAATATAGCAGTATGTAAATATAAATAATAATGAATTCATGAATTAAATTTAGATTTATATATTGATGTCTAGTCAAATATAAGGTTTCTAAATAAATTGACAATAAAAGTATAAATAAACGAAATGAGTGTTACAATGTCAAATCCTTAATGTGTTAATGATTTATATTATTGTTATATATTATTTTATACTGGAATTGTATTAAATTTATTTTTGATGAATTTAATTTTTTATTTGAACAATTTGTTGAATAAAATATAAATACTTTTATTTTTTATTTTTTATATATATTTTTTTTATTTTATTTTTAAAGTGTGACTAAAATGTATATATTTTTTTACTGTCTAAAACAGTGCTCGTTGGCCCTTAAATAATCTCTTTTCTAGTAATTTTGTATTTTTCTCTAAACTATGTAAAATATTTTTTAGAATTTGTTAAACATACTGAATGATGGCACACATACAGTATCGAAACGTACATAATATAGTCAAAAAATCTGAAAATCATAAATAAACTTGAATTATGCTTTTACTTTGATCTCAAATATCATCCAAATATAGTATAAATATTATCCAAAGAAACTTTGTATCCAAAACCATTATTAAAATATATAGATACATAATAAAAAAAAACTTCTTAAATTTTATCTAGTTATAAATAAAATTTAAAAAAAATACTGCCTGCCACAATAAAAAAAAATTCAAAATTACACTGCCTATGAAAAAATATTCGATAGTTATATAAATTTTTAAGACAATATAACAATACCAAAAAAAAAATTAAAAGAAATTTTTCAATAAAATGTGATACACCAAAATTTGCTTCATTTATAATTATTTTATAGAATTAGTAAACTAATAAAAGTCTACTTAGTAAATTAAATTTTACTCAGTAAATTAAAAGTTAACATTTCTTAATATATTTTGTTACTAATTAGATTAAGCTTTGTAAATGCGATATTTTTATTTAAGTAGCATTTGTATAAACTATTTAATATGTATAGTAGAATTATTATTATATATATAATATATATATATATATATATATATATATATATATTTGTGTTACTATAAGTAAAAATGATTGTATCGTTGCTTTACTTTTAAACATAAAGATAAACTTTGGAATTTGAATAAATAATTTTTATATAGAAGTATAACAATATATTAAAAATTTAATTTTGGTACGTGATGGAAATTGTAAGATTTTTTTATAATATTGAATATAATTTTAATAAACATATTACTAAATGTCTATAATCGATATATAGTATTAAAAATATATTGCTTCGCCTATGTAGTAAATGTTGCGCAAAACTAATTTTATTAACTATTATTGTAATAATAAGAGTAATTTGTACATATCAAACATTATTTAAATAAACTCTGTACTAAATCGATTTGTTTTTATTTTATAAATAAATAAAAGTAACTAGTTGAAAGTGTCATTTTGCCTTAAGGCAAGTTGCATAAACTTCCCGATATATGTAAATAACCGACTTAATCAATAAAAAATGAATTAATGAATAGTGATTAAAAAAGTATTCCGAGTAGATTTATTACACATCATTGAAAACGAACAAACAGGTTAACTCGGAGTATTTTCTAAAAGCAAATTTTCAAAAATCAACAATTGTTATAATTGAACCAGTTTCCGTAAGACTTTAATGGTTTTACTACAGGCCTACAAATAACTTAATTATGATAATTAATTGTCAAATTTTCAGATTTTTCAAGTTGCTTAACCTCATTATTGATTAAGATTATTAACTTAATTTACAAAATTAACATTTGAAGAAGTTTTCGCGATTGGCTTGAAAACAAAGTATCACTTATGCCTTTTTTAAATATTGCAAATTTTTCTAGTATTAAACATTTGTCAATGAAGATAATTAGCAACATTAACTTCTTGTAAGGTAAGTTATGGTGGACGTCTAAAAATCAAAAGTGATTTTTTTTTATTTTTTGACCAGGAGGTCAAATCAGTGATTCCCAAAATGGTCCACATAGACCCTCTGGGGTCCATGGCAACTTTCGAGGGGTCCACGGCAGGGAAAACAAAATTTGGGGGTCTACAAAATAAAAATAGGGGCCCACGGCACATTTAGAAATGAACCAAAAAGTAAAGAAAAACATTGCATATGAATTTTAGTATTAAGCGCGGAGCCAACGACCCATTGACCACGCATATCTCGAAAACTATTGGACGTCCCAACTTTAAATTTTTGTCACATTCTTAGTAAGGTACAGTAACAATATGTGCCAAGTTTCATCAAAATCGCAATATGTGTTTTTGAGAACATACCACCTGTTTAAATGTTAGTATTGAGCGTGGAGCCAACGACCCATCGACCACGCATATCTCGAAAACTATTGGACGTCCCAACTTTAAATTTTTGTCACATTCTTATTAAGGTACAGTAACAATATGTGCCAAGTTTCATCAAAATCGCAATATGTGTTTCTGAGAACATAGCACCTATTTAAATACTAGTATTGAGCGTGGAGCCAACGACCCATCGACCACGCATATCTCGAAA